ATGAAACATGTGTCACGTTACCCGTACATGATTTGAAATTTTTGTGACCAAGCCTGACCTAGCCTTGACCCGACACACACGAAGTATGTGGAAGCTCGGTACCCTTAGGGTATCTTCGTCAATCGTCATACATGTTCGAGTGTACATGAACCTTAAATGAGCCCGATGTGGTTTCAGCTGAATATAGCAAAGGCAAGGTCACCATCAAGTTGAAAAGCCAAATTTTTAAGCTGAAATTTTCAACACAAAAGGTATCATGCAGATGCAATTTGACCTCAGGAACACGAGGGTCCTGTTTGTTTTGGCGTACCATGTTGAAAGCGTACTGAAAAGTAAATCTAAAGTAGGTATTGGTAAAGGTGAATAGTTAGCTACCGTAAAATATAGAGGCGGATAACTTCGTTATTTTGGAAGGTATTAGGCTGAAAATTTCTCGAGTAAATCATCGGCATACGTTCTATAACATATGTTCCGGTTTATTTTCGAAAATCTAAAAACATGCCATTTTATATTTTGTATGAATGATTTTTAATTATTTATAATTTTGAAATAAACCGATATAGCAGTTTGATAGCCCTGTGTATTTTAGGTCCTCTAATGAAAAGAAATAGGTGCTAGTTAAGAAAAGCTAGGCTTTTGGGAGCGGTTGTCGCAGGTCATGGTTTTCCATTAAAATCGATCAAAAATGGGCGGCACTTTCAAGTCATTTTCGGCTGACCAATGGTTGCTACGAAGTTTTTTTCTTCAGGTACAAGGCGTCAAATTGATGCATCAGAAGGTTTTGCAAGTTTTGTGTGGATACGTCCAGCATTGTGGAGAATATTGCAGAAAAACAGGAGAGGAACTCTATAGAGGCCCTCCTCCAGTTATGCGCCGGTTAAACCGCACCCCCTGGGCCCTGGGGGTCCTGGACTACTACGTTCTGCTGGGTTGAAGGGTGTTTGAACATGAACATCCCACGCGCTTTAAATCGGCTCCTGGACCAGGTAGTGGCACGCTGTAAGCGGCGTTCGAAAGAGCGTAAAAAATTATGACGAAAGTCCTTAAAACATTTTTGAGCCAGGTTAAAGGTCAGGTCACCAGAGGTCATCGAAGGTCAACTTTCGCCAATATAGACAGCATTCGAGAACTTTCCACAAAGTGGCGCGTAAATCGGCAACGGATAGAGCTACAGCACCGTGGAAAAGCACATTCGATAGCTCTTTCATAAGTCTTTCTGGATATTGTTCTCAGATTTCACCCGACGTCAATGGTTTATCCTCCAAAGGGTGGAAACTGCAGAAATTGACGCTTACGTGGAACATGTTTTTCTGCAATAGACTTTTACCCAAACTTGCACGACATGAAAACTTACATGACAGACGCGTCGAAAGGACTATAATCTAAGATGACCTAGGAGCACAAAATGGGGTCACGGGTTCTAATCTCCAATTCAACGCAACATGTTTGCCTATAATACGATATTTGAGCATTCAAGACTTTCATTAAAAAAAGCTCAATTGAGTTTTACAGGTTGACTTATAATGGAAAGTTCGCAAACTTGACTTGATATTAGCTCATAGCTAACACACTTTCGAGACATAAATTTGATACTACTGTTGCTCTTATCAATCGTTGAAAGTTTAAAAGCGATCGTTCGGTCGGTGTAGCTTTGGCGAGATGTTGGCGAGGACTATATATTTTTCTGAGGTAAGGTCACTTGACTGGTGACCTCAACTTAGAAGATAGAGAAGAAAAGATGCATGGTAAAACGGTGGCGCTACACGCCGCCGTTTTTTTTTTGGAGATTTGCGGAAAACCGCAGAGGGAAGTGGGGTGGGGTTCAAATACCCCAGCAGGGCCCGGGTTAACTTCCTCTTGTATAAGACGTGCCACGTGGATTCTTGTACGAACCCATTTATTTTGCGTGTCATTTGAGGATCAAGAAAGCGTTATGAAGGGTTATTTGGTTGTCAAAGAGCGAGAGAGAGAGAGAGAGAGAGAGAGAGAGAGAGAGAGAGAGAGAGAGAGAGAGAGAGAGAGAGAGAGAGAGAGAGAGAGAGAGAGAGAGAGAGAGAGAGAGAGAGAGAGAGAGAGAGAGAGAGAGAGAGAGAGAGAGAGAGAGAGAGAGAGAGAGAGAGAGAGAGAAACAGAGACAGACAGAGACAGAGACAGAGAGAGAAACAGAGACAGACAGAGACAGAGACAGAGACAGAGACAGAGACAGAGACAGAGACAGAGACTTTGCAAAGCGTCTGAAACATTGATTAATAACTAATAGCTCAGTGTAGACGGGTATTTCTGGATCAAGTAGTTAGGAAGTAGCCAAATGAGTAGTGGAAACATCAAAGTATGGCATAACAGTTGGCTTATAGCATTTAGGGCACATATTAACAGCGCTCACGATATCACTAACAATTCGTGGAACACTTCAGCGATGTATATGCATCAGCAGGACTGTCTCATGGCGACTGGCCCACTTAGGTTGAAAGACCTATCGTGTCTTTATATGATGCATGCAGGACACTGGGCGATTACAGAAATACCTACCTGAAGCGCGCAATTTCATGTGGAAAGAACAACTCAATTCGGATATGATGCTTATATAATAACAAATATGAATAGTAAGTTAATGTAATTTTCATGTAGCTATGTGCATCACATCCAGTATTCCGGCGTGTACATTATGAGAAGTGCATTCAGCGAATATTTGGGTGCTATGGGGTTTCCTTTATTATGTTTTGTTATGGGTTGTGCTCGTTTTTAGCCAAACGATGGAGTGGAAAAGTCATTTGGGCTAGGGAGAAACCGTAGCAGGTACAACAAATAAAATCAATATTATATAATCAATATGTAATCAATATAATCAATGAAATTCAGAGCTGGCTTGTATTTTTTTTTCCAGCACTATCAAGAAAACTTAGTACAAGTTGCCTCTTATCTCGTCAATTTTTTTTTCTTCAAAATACACATAGTGTATCAAAAGTAAAAAGAGCAGGGACATAAGTACGGGCAATATTTTTCAACTAAAAGTCATGTTAAGATATGTGTGAAATATGAGACAACTATGAACATGGATTTTCATAATTGGGATTCATCGGGTATTTCCTTAACCCTCGCCGGCACAGGGGGGGGGGGGTTGATGCAACCCCCTCCTAAGGTTTTTCGCGAATAACTCGCGTAAAAAGCGGCCGATCGCGACGAAACTTTCAGTACCCTCGCATTGATCAATTTTACACCTACCCTGAAAATTTCATGACCCTGACCCCAATGACCTTTGACCTGTGACCTCTTTTCTGTGACCATGTTTGGCCGAAATCGCGGTTCGGCGCATGTCGGCTCGCATTAGCCGCGCGTTTGCAAGCTTTTCGTGGTTTCAAACGTTCAAACATGTGATTTGATGTTGCTCCCATGCATTAGGGTGGGTGTCAAGGTCACCTGAGGGTCAGGTCAGGTCATTGACCTTTGGTGACCTCGGGTGACCTCGGTTCACTTTTTCGAGTTTTACATGTTTCTAGGCTAGTTTTTGTAGCTGAATTCGAATTTAGCAACCATTTGAACATTTACGAAGTAGTTTTGGTGCCTTCGTAACATGTTACGAAGCTGTCCGAGGCGGTTGACACGTATTACGAATACCCGTCACAACCCCTACCGGTTGACCTGACCTGACCTGACCCGACCTCGTCTAAATGCTTAAAGACATCATCTATGATCAAAACTAACACGATATTCGTGATCAGCACCCCGGAAAACCACATAGCAGCCACACTTTACGACTTTTTAACAGGTTCCGATTTTCCCGGTTTTCGGGTCATTGACCTGACCTGGAAGGTCACCCGATGACCTAGGACCTTAAAATTGGGTATCATCGGCTTCGTCTCGTGACGGGCAACACGCTCGTTTTTTCCGCGAAGCTCTAGCTCGATCAGGGGCCAAACGCGAGGGGGGGGGGTCGTACCAACCCCCCCCCTTGTGCCGTCGAAGGACTCAAAATGGCCTGTGCCGGCGAGGGTTAAGATCATGATTTCATGAGTTAATCGCTAGGATCAAGCGCGCATGGCTAACGACAATTAAAAAAAAACTGAATAAATTATGTCATGGTGCAAAATCCACTTGACTATTTAAGTAAGTTTGAGACACATAGGTCTAGCATAAATATACGTAACGACGTAACGTCTCAATTTGCTACACCACCAAGGGAGTTTCGCCCGAGCGTGCGCTGCTGCAATTCCCCGCTAAAATTGGTCTTTGTTTGGCGTTGCAGTCTCAGCTTACGTGACAACACGTCATAACCAAACTTTGGAACATGTTTTGGCAGATTACCGGCCATTAAGGAACCAGTTTTTGGGTCTCATTCGGTGCGGTAATGGCGCTTTTCCGAGAGATCCGCTTCTGGCTGACGGACAAAGCAAGGGCTGATGATCGCTGAATGGCGCTTCATATTGCATACAGGGATACATGAGACCCACTTATTTATGCAAATACCTTTGGGTCGAGAGCATTGCTAACTGATAGTATGCACGAGACGCAAACTTTCCATCTTTGAAGACACCAATAAGAATCAGACTTATGTTAAACATATTTTAAGATGATGAATTTAAAAATAAATAAAAGCATTTCCGAACAGTAAATCGCCAAATTATAGCAAATAAACGTAAATTATGTTTCATTTAAGTGAAGTACAGCGCCATTCACGTGCAGATGTATGCATGAGACATTGCAATATGGTCTTCCTCGAGATTAAAACATTACCAGCCATGTCAGGCCATAACAATTATCTACGATTACCTGGCAGTGACCCCGGCGGCTCCTCGCCGCAACAAATGCCATTGGAGCCCACACTACATCACATAACGCTGGCGAAACTTCGATGGGTTCATTATCTGGCTGTGCAGCGGCCCCACTCATTGGCCGTGCAGCGGACATATGGCCGCATCTGCTCGGCCGGGGCCCGCCCCTGGCGGCCGGCCGTGCCCACTGCCTCCCGGAGAGGCCGGCCGTGCTGTCCGGCGGTCATTTACCTCTGTCTGGGCGCGTGTAAGGTATTCAGCGTAACCCGACCACATCGATAGTGAGTTCAGCGCCGACGACGTGCCGGCGATCTTTACAAAATCTGAAACACAGCGCCGTCAATTGCAGCGGGTCGTAACGGTGACGTCACTGAGGATAGTTGTGACGTCATTGGGAGGGTCCCTCGGGGGCGTTCACCGTTCAGGACTGAAGGGCAGATACCCTGCCGCGTCCACACACCACGTTATCCACCGACGGCGGGTGATAAAACTCTTCCCCGCTCTACATAGGAAGGGGTGAATGAATTTTTACGGCTGGTTTTTATGGCTACCCTTCCCTTCCAGCCGCGGTGGGTTTATGACCATGTTCAGAGCCACTGACCCAGTGCCGTATCTTCCTGGTCGCCTGACCCATTTCACGATTCGCGTCTCGACCGTCGGAGGTTCTACGATCGCGCCCTCGGGCAACGCTCGCGATCCTTGTCGTTGAGCGCGACACGGCCGCGTTTTTCACGTCGACGGCCCAGACTACGTGTATCACCATCGTTCACGACAGCGGCACGATATGTCGGCGGCGTTGGCAGCTCTTTACCGCCGCGCTGATCGCCGCTCAGGCCCTCATCCGGCGTCGGTATCTATGAATTTTATGCCGTCTCCAACGGCATGGTATTGACCGTAAAGCTGACTCGCGCCACTGCCGGTAGATGGCAGCAGCGGCCATCGAGCAGGTGACGTATTTGCCATTTACCGTAGTTTGACGGGCGGCCTCTCAGCCGGCGCAGCGGACAACGAGCCAATAGGGATCCACTTCTCAGGGTTATGGCGCTCGATGGCAGGACGAAACGGGCCAGAAACTGGACAGACAATGGCAAGATGTTAAAACAGCGAGAGCGTGAAATGACACGGGTCGACGGCGCCCTCACCGAGGAATATGGAAAATAGCCGGGCACAAGTGACACTGGGCTTAGCGCCTCTGTATTTACGAAGCAATAGAGGCCTCAGTGTAGTGCACCAAATCCGCTTATGGGCCATGAATTCTGGAATGTGTAATAGAAGCATGCTATTGTCAGCATTCAGCTTGTCAGCGATGTGATCATTAGCCAGCTCACAAAATGCCCGGCAACTCATCCAGTTCTCTATTTAAAACCAGCTCAAACTCAGAGTGTGTAGTGGAACAATTATCGTATCTAAGGTCGACCTTTCCTTTCTGAAGTAGGTGTCTTTTCTCTTAGGGTCTATTTTTGTGTTGCATCCCGCACAGGAACTTTGAATCAGAGCAAGTTCACCCACGAGCCAAAGCGACTCGCAAAACTCCTCAGTTTGCGCTAAAGTTAGAGGTTGACTGACTGAACCTCCATTGACTGAATGGAGACCACACGTGCGAACACCGAGTCGTGTGGGTCGCCAGCGCTACCGGCCTGTTCCGACTACATGTCCAGCTCGACACAGCGTCGGTGTCAGTGTCACCAAGTCATGACTCAGCCGATGTCAGTGTCGGTGTCAGTGTCACCACGTCATGACTCGGCCGATGTCAGTGTCGGTGTCAGTGTCACCACGTCATGACTCGGCCGATGTCAGTGTCGGTGTTCAGTGGCCAGTGCCGTCGGTGTTAATGTTAGTGTTAGTAGTGGTGTCACTATGAGTGTCAGTATCACCACTGGTGTCGGTGTCAGTGTCGGTGTCACTGACCTCCGGCAGCCCGCCATCCTAACTCTGAATGGAGCGCAGCAATATCGCGCAGCACCGGGCGGAAAATGAGATTAGCCGCCCCGAAATCAACTTTGCCGAATCCAATCTAGGAATTTTCTGGACTCCATTCGGGCTGAGATACGCCGCCTAATAGGGCGCGCGCCGGCGAGCCCGTATTGAACGCCACCGCCGGCGCTGTCGTTCCACAGACGGATATAACAAGGAAACTTTGCATAGGAATTCGCACAAGATCGGGCTCGACACGCCGGTCAAGAAGGCGTGGGCACCAGGAGGGCAGGTCGCTCCACGTGCATTAGACACGGTAGGGGCGTGCGCCCATAAACATCCATCAGATAAACGCCCGGAGACGGCGCGGCAGGGCGAACGCCTTTGTCCCGTGGCCGGTCACTCATGCCGAATGATGTCAGGCGTCGGGCGTTATTCAGGATCGCCAGAGTGTCGCTTTATCTATGGCGGCCGATGGTAAAAATACGCCTGCCAAAGTGAGTATTAATGACTCGGAGCTCGGTAATTACGCGAAGTAGCTCATGAATAATTCAGGGCAGTCCAGCCGGCGATCTGACTGGAGCAAGGCGATCGCTGATTTGTGTAGACGTGCGGCCAGAACCGCAACCGGTGACATGCACACTTGGTGCGTGCACAAAGTCACAGCGGCCACAACAACACAGCAAATGTCTGAAAAGGTTGCCTTGCTGGCTTCCTTCGCTTTCATAATCAAACCACTTTCGATTCATGGTTATGTTGTAACAATCAAAATTTCATAGCTAAGTTGTAACTTGTCTGTATTTCCACTGATGCATGCAGAATGACTGTAATAAGTGTTTGCTTCTTACATACAGCATCTCTAAAGCCTTAAACAGACTCTTTCCGCCGTCAGGAAATCGCATGCGAGAGCCTATTCAAATACATGGAAGCACGCTCGCATCAATCGCACGCACCTCCCGCAAGCGATTGATGCGAGAAGAATTACAATGTATTTGAATAGGCTCTCGCATGCGATTTCCTGAACGCAGAAAGAGTCTGTTTCAGCCTTAAGACCAAACCGTACCAATGAGCAGGTTCACATTCCTCCCTAAGCACTGTGAGGCCGACAGAACAGCCCGGCTCCGCCGGGGTCCCGCTGCGCTGCTGTGAGCCCGTCTCCACCCACGTGCGCGGCTCGTTATCGCGATATGCGTGCCGTCAGACACCAGCTGAGCGGCCCAGCATCCCACTGAGCGCCCGAGCAGCCGGCGGTGTCTCACCAGCGGACAGTGAGGCAGTGCCTCACCACCGAGACACTGCCTCACCGAGCGAGACACTGCCTCACCGACCGGCCGGAGCCTGCAGCGACCGGCCGCGGCGGCGGCGGCGGCGGCGGCGGCGGTGGCGGCGGCGGCGGCTGAAATTCCTCCCACCGCACTGTCTGCCTTTAATCTACAGTTCGTATTTTGCTGGGCAGCCGGAGAGAATTTATCTCCTCCGGCGGGATTATCTTGCGAATAAAAATGTTGGCCTGACGTCCGCGAAAGCAGCTATTGATCGCGAGGATCGGGCGCCGGCCGAGATAGTTCCACTCGGCACCAATAGATGGCAGGGCGGTCTCGCTCGGCTACGCTGCCGTAAACCGGGCGCTATCGCGCATTTTATGGCGCACAAAACACAGGCGAAGTGCACTATTCTGATTTGATATGGCGGCGTAGTATTACTTCCGAAGTGCATAACGACGCTGTAGGTGCACGTGCGCGGTTGAGGCGGCGGCGGCGGCGGCGGCGGGTAGCTCGATGGCGCCGGCCGGCCGCCGCCGTCAGCGGCCGGTAATGGCGCAGATGGCGGCCCGTTGCGGCTCGCCGACGCCCCGCCGAATGGCGCCCGGTGACGCCCGCGGTTACCACGGCAGCACGCGCAGTGTGCTGGCCGTGTGAGTGCTGCGGTGGCACGCACAGTGGGCTGATCGGAAGGTATGGAAAGGGAGGGTGTCTCCGCTCACTGCCGGCCTGAGAGCGCCGCCGCCGCCGCGCCGCCGCCGCCGCCGCCGCCGCCGCCGCCGCCGCCGCCGCCCGCGCCCACGCAGCAGCCGGCGCCGTCCAAACAGCGGGCGGTCGGCCGCTGCCGTCGTCAGTGGCGACCGCATAGATCAAATCTGCCGGCCCGACTGCATCTAACGTCGGTCGTATCTTACGGCAGAATCCATGCCTTAATTGGTTCGCCGATTGACCGAGTAAGCCGTAGCGGAGAACAATGGCAGCCATAACGGGCCTATCCGGGCCTGCATGGCGGCGGTCAATCGTGGGCTTATCGTAACGCATGGGCAAGTTTGAATCTATACTGGCCCCCTTCGTCAAGTAAATTAATTTGTAAAATTAAATTTGGACGTCTGTAACTGAGGAAAAGAGTTATGTGTGCTACTGGGACTGAGTCACACATTGACCCAAAAAACATATGATATTTCTCCCCCAATGATCAAGACATTCGCTTGAATGGTGTTTTTGCAACATCTTCATGGCAATTTGTTGATCATTCGCAGAGCTCTGTTTACCTTCAGGAACCCTTTATTGTCACTGGTAAATTAGTAACAACAACAATAATCAAAACATGGCTTGTGAGTTCAATACCTACCGCACTGATGCATTTCAAATGGAAACCTGAATTTGAGACAAAAAAGGTCCCATCAAAATAATGTATACAGCCTACGACACATTGATGACATTTGGCTCAAATGCTTCCAGTTTCCAACACAGCTCTTTGCCACTTTCGTAATTACGAAATCGTATATTGTAATGAAACATGCCCAAGGTCGTCTAAGGGAGCACTGAGCAATATAATATCTAAACATTATTTCAATTTTTCCAGTCCCTTCAGTCAGTTTGGCTTCTACAAAAACATGTTGAAACACGGCTGATCCACGCAGAGAACCGTGTGAATTTAGCACTGCATAATTCATTACGTCTTGTTACTGCGTGTAACCGAATGTCAAACAACTGTCCACTTACTAATAAGCTTTCCTAATTTAAACAATCACAGTGGGACATTTCATTCATTACAAGTACACATCAGTTAAATCGTAGCACTCTTATAAACATAAATATCAGACCATGGAGACATATCACAACATACAAACTTTCCCATGGTCCACTTTTCATTACGAGCATGGCTTCAATCATGGCTCAACTATTGTCCTGTCAATGCTAAAGGTCCTGCCGTTCGCAATTTCATAGTCATTTTTCTTTCCCCAAATGCAATGCAATCAAATACGTTGCAGGGATATTGGGAATCTTGACAATATTAGGCCCTAAAATCGACGAAGGAAATTGCCAGAAAGACCGAGATCAGAGCATACATGGAACGGTTTCTACTGAATATTCGGATTCGAACAACAAACTATTCATATTTCAAATATTGCAATAATTGCTGC